GGGGCATTGTGGTTATTATGTCAAGTGCTAAATTAATAGCAATTATTTCAGCACTATATATTGAAACTATGTTTGTAATTCTTTTCCATTGCTTATTCCATTTTAATATGGCAGCACATCCTACTCCATTTTCACTTTTTGCACCGTCTCTCTCTCTCTCTATATATATATATATATATATATATATATATATATATATATAAAAAAGATGGTCTCAGTGTTTATTTTTAATATTCAGTATTTCAGACTGGTAGGGTTTGTTTTGAATTTTGGAAAGTGGTCACTTCCACATGTGTCATCATGTACTTTCCAGTTATGATCTAAAAAGTCTAGGGTCACATATTGTTAAATTTATTGCTGAATATGAGCCTTTTGCTGGGTGTAGGTATGTGTGATTTATTGTTATACATGCATAACTGATGTTTGTTTAATACTGATTCTATTATTTTGAACTTTTTGTCCATTTTCTTGCTTCTCCAGGTCTCGTTATAGCAATTGAAGACCCCCCACCTTATAATAAAGGGCCTTGGTAGTTGTGATATCAAATTGTTTAGCTCCGATTCTTTGAGTTCTTCACTTGGGAGAATATATAGTGAACACACTGTTATTGTTTTATGGAGGGTTGCTGATATAGCAATTGCATGCATATTGGTAGTGTGATTTCACTGTGCAGAATATTGTTGTTAATGAGTACTGATGATCTGCCACAAGGTCTATCAGCGTGCTGCTTAATATAGTCGGACAATTGATAGTTTTTTGATGTTGATGGTATTGTTTTTGAGATGGGTTTCTTGAAGGCATATGATTGCTGGGCAGTATTTTGTTATAAGAAGCAATAATTCAGAGGGATTGACTCTTGGTCCTCTGATATTCCATTGGATGATTTTATTGTCCATATAATTTTAATTTTTCGGGTCTATGTGTTTTCTTTTTGAGATTTCTTAGTTTTTACCCTTGTGGATACAGGCTCCTCAACCTCCATTTTTCCCCCAACAGATTACACCTGTTTTAGGCTCCACAGGAACCGCTGGGTCTTTTGACTGACCCAATGTTTTCTCTGTGGATGTATTCCTCTTTGGAGAGGTCTTTGTCACCCTTTTTTCCATTGTTCACCTCACATGTTGGTGGATGGATGGGAGATGTTTTGGTTTAGAGGTAGTCTTCACAGGAGAACGCATTGTTTTCATCTTTCATTTCACCGTCCGTTTCCAGCTCCTGTGATTCCTCTTGAGCTCCATAAGTCTAATGTGTTCTTGAAAATTTGGCCACTCATTTGTAGTTAAATGCAGTAATTTGTCTATCAGTTCATGGTATTTGTTTTCTTGAGTTTTGTTTGTTTGTTGATATTTGTTTTTTGTGTTACATAGACATATGACTGCACAGGAGTCGACAATCCTTCTGGCATCTGAGAAGGACACATTTCTTTTGTATTAAATTTGCACCACCTCTTTTTCTTTCCTATAAACTTCAGTCTCTAGAAAATGCAGGGTGGTTCTCATGACAATTGGCGCATCTCCTTTCTCCCTGGCATTCCTCTTCTGCATAGGCTGGGTTCTTTTCTGAGCATTTACCACAGAGCTGTTGTCATTGGTATATGTCTTTGTAGTGTCCATATCTCTGGCACTTAAAGCACAGCAAGGGAGCTGGTACATAGAGTTCCAATCTTTTGACCATGAAACCTATTTTAACTTCTTTTGGGATAGTGGGTAAGTCAAATGTTAGTATATATGTGTTGGTCAATATACTCTCACCATTCCCTTAATGCTAATTCTTTTAGTAATCGTGACACCCTGCCTTAGCAGTGCCATTTTATCTCTTCTGTTACTAAGCTCAATTCTTGACTTCTTATAACTCACTTACAAGAGTTCAACCTTTCATGCAGATAAGCCTTACATTTATATTTATGGAACTTTTCCATTTTTACTAAATTTTTGGCATATTTTTTCTCAGTTACTCCTGCTAATAGGTTTCCATTTCTAAATTTTTAAACTGATTTCGGATTCGACCTGTTATATTATCCTTCCAATGAGAAAGAGTGATAATTTACTTAGAGGTGTATCTTCCATTGATTCTATGACTATAAATTTCAATCTGATTCTGAAAGGTTTCTTTGTTTTTTTTGTTTTCAGAAAAGCCATATTTAAGGTTTAGTTAGTTATTAATTGGTCCTATGCTCCCTCACTCACCACAGAGTTGGGAATTAACCAAGGGGGAAACCCATTTGTCTTGGTTGAGATGAGGGATACACTACCACTATACTCAATCTGGGCAGTAAAACTGAGCCCCTGTCAATTTAATTTCAGTAACCAATACCATTTAACATATCAGTGATCAAAATCTCACTCAATGCAATTGACCCTGCACCACCACCTTCTAGCACCTATAAAAGGGTTGGGTATTTGCCATAAATGCAGATTGAATAATACTGTCGGGGCTAAATATATAGATGCTAAGGTTTGTTATGACCATCTGAATGATCAGATTTGGCCTATCCAACCGCCCATCAGACCAAGTAAGGGCCAAAGTGGTGCATTGCTAGTCCTTGACCACTGTCACCAGCTTAATGACTGCTCAACCACCAGGATTCCATCCTAGCGCCTTACGGGTCACCACCCACGGCCAACAGGTGGCCCCATTGGGGCGGGAGGCTCACCCCTCTACAGAAGTGCAGTCAGTGTATTCTACAGCCCCAGCCAACAGGGTGTTATTCAATGTATGAACAAATGGTAAACTTATAAATATGCCAGATAAAGTCTGTTGAAAAAAATTGTCTAGTATGGCACAGTGAACTAACTTTTCTAGCAGAAGACCTAGCAATATAATCTTTCCACTTCATTTCAACATAAAATATTAACACAAAAAGGTGCAATAAGTCACTCCCCTGGGGGATAGCATTGGCCATGCTGATAGAAGGCAAAAAGGTTCTCTAAAACAATTAAAAAAGCAGTTTTGTTTTGGAGGTGTTAAAATTAACACGCCATTTCTTGCCCCAGTTAAAAACAGATTTTAATTCATTCTTTAGATCAGCTGCCAATTTGACCATATCAGACATACCATTAACACAGGTGCAAATACTTGTGTCATCAGCATAGATACAGAGATGACAACAGGAAGGTCAATGATGAAAATTAGAAACAACATAGGTCCAAGGATAGAACCTTGGGGGGGACACCCACATTAATGCAAAAAAATCTAGACGCATGGCCATTCAAGACAAATTTTTCTTGAACAATTTGATAAAGATTGAATCAGATCAAAAATTTGTCTACAAGTACTATGTGAAATACTTTCAAGATGTCTAAAGCAAAATCCTAAGTTTCACTAGTCTTATCTATAGTTTGATAAACTCTCAGCAATAACTGTTAACACATCAGCAGTTAAGCTAGAGAAGTAAACACTATTGCTTTTCAGAAAGATCCTGCAAGGTAAGATGCTTAACCAATTAAAAGCTGATTAGAGCCTCTCTTACCTTGCCAAAAAGAGGTAGAAGGCTAGATAGAAGAACCAGATGGTAAGTTGCCTTTTACCAAGTGTTCAACAATCTCCATTATAACCTTTGCATTCCAGAAAAATCAGGTGGTGGACTAACTTTGCAGAAAGAACCCAATTTCAAATAAGCTTTTATAAGTGGGTGTACTTATTAATAAACAGCGACAGATATTTTTGGTAAGAGTTACAATGCTGTAGATTTTAGTCATAAATAATACCAAATAAAATCCATTTTAATTATGCAAAATCCCTTGAAAAACAATATCATACTATGTTTGGTTTAGAAGAAAATTAAGTTTCTATAAAATAAATTGGTATAAATGCACCCATTTGGAAGCAAGAGAAATACATAAGGTCTGCAGAGCTATGATGCTGATGACCCTCGTTCATAGTACCAAATTCTAGGCCATCTACATCGAAAATGTTTCCATCAGTGCTGCTTCCACATTACTTTTAAAACAAAATCTTTCTCTTGTGGCATCAGCTACTACCAATAATAAACAAAATCTTATAATCAAAGTCAAACCATAAGGATTTCTAAACATTTATACATATACTCTTGTTTATATATCAGGATATAACATATCACACAGATGCAAAGAGAAATTTAATCAAAATTTATAAATAACATCAAGTAAAAGAAATTCATCACATAATTTTACTGTAAAATTAATGTAGGTTAAGTTATAAAAAAAACAAAAAACAAAACAATAGTCAAACCATTTTAACAAAAAATATATATATATATATATATATATATATATATATATGACAAAAATAAATATAGTTATTTAGAGGTATGCTATATTTATGAGTTATGTGATCAATATCAGGGATAGAGCATATGTAAATATAAAATTGGACATTGTGGTCAACACCCAGCAGTGACCGTGTCTCATGTTTAAGCATATATATATATATATATATATATATATATATAATGAAATGGCCATCTCCTGGTTTTACAAGTACACCCATTTTCTAGGATACCTAGCTAATCCCTGTTGTAGACACCTGTTCAGCTACATTTGTGTTTGTTCAACACCCACATAGCCAATCTAAGATTTATACTGCAACTCAACAGACCTTAGTTACAGTTTCTAAGAGAGAGTGCATATAATCTGGCATGATGTACAGTTTGATTAAAGCCAGTACACACTCCATTCGAAAGTCACAAAAACTTTGGATCTTGTGCTAGCACAACCATTAATACCTTCTGAACAATTCTGTCAAACCAATTTTGCTCACAAATTTTGGGTCAATCCATGGTATCATTTTTAGGCACTTGTAACAGAGCTGCACGTTAGTAGGATTATCTCCCCAGACTAATCATATCAAGAAGTCAGTGCCCTAATAAGTCAACGATAATGAAATTCAGACCCAGGTCTTGGTCAGAATACAAACATTCTAACCACCCAGCCATATATATATATATATATATATATATATATATATATATATATATATATGTATGTGTGTGTATGTATATGTTTGTTTTTGTGCACACTTACCTCTCCAAGCATCCAGTTGTTGTCTGAATTAAATTTGAAAAGACTATTGTATGAACTTGTTTGGACCCTGTATTCTGTATGTAGGGGTGGTGTGACTAGGCCACTATCAGTGGATAGACCCTTGGACTCAGATCCCTCTAATATTGCTGCAAGAAAAATATTACAGATTAAATTTGACAATATCAAAGTTTATGTTTCACAAATTTAAAAACATCTGTCTTTTTTGTAGTCATCTGTATAAATTTTAACTGGAATGTAATGTTTGTACAATGTCAGATTTATAGAGCATCAACTAAGAAAATAATTATTAGATATTAGAGGCTGACAAGCTTTCCAAAAATCATTACCCTGATGAAATCTCAGAATTGAGAAGAGGTATATCTGCCAGCAAGAATAATATATTAGAAAATTCCACATAATGCAATATTTAATCATAAATTCAGTTGGTAGAATCATTAGTTTTTATGTATACTCATTTCCTCCTGGGTCCCAACCAGGATCCTTAGGTTTGGAATGGGAATCATGGCATTTTTACTAAACATTCATGAATAAAAAAAAAAAAAAAAAACACATACACATTTAACACTGATAAAGCCTTTCATTGGATGGTAGCTGCATTTGAACATATTTTTTTTGTATTTCTTTAAGGTGTATGGGTTGACATGTATTCCTTCAATGAATATATCCAAATTTTTTCCAATCAAAACCAAGACCCCAACTGGAATTATTCATGTCTACATGTCCCATATTTTTTTTTAAATTTCCAATTCAAGATCCTTGTTTATTGATAGACTTTTAAAGATCTATCTTCAAAGCTACATTATTATACAGGAACTAACATATCAAGAAAGCAGATTCTGTTTTTGTGGTTTCTGATCACATTGTCTGGGTGATTAGCTTTGATTGTTCTGTGTGTATTGCAAAATCCCATAAAATTGTTACAGGTCCTGTATCTGTAACCAAGTCTGAGAGGTGTCTATACCAATTTCTTTCAGTTCCCTTCTCATAAAAGATAAAGATTTTCCAGTGTATATATTGACCCACCCTAATGTTATGTCTTCATTCCACTGAATGAAGATAACACTATATATATCTATAATTCTCAAAATTGTGTGATCGGATGTTATTTATGTATTTCCACAATTTTCATCTGATTTCAATTAAATTTTTTTTGTTTCATAGATAATTCTTCAGTGCCAGTTTTGAGTCCAAATTGTTGGGGACAATGGCTCTCCATTACTTCCTGTCCATTATAACTCCCAACGTTTTACTATCTGTTCTTGGATGTATATCTTTCATAAAAACTTTAATAAAAATAATCTTTTACACATTGCACAAAAATCAAAGACAAAATTTAATTTACTTTTTCACACATAACTTTCTAATCCTAGCTCATGCTGTGTGGACATGATTCACACTGCCGCACGTTGCCCATCAGTTGCTGCTGACATTGATAATTAGCGCATGCAGCAATGCATTTACATGTGGCCCTGCAACATGTACTGTGTCACATGTTCATGCATGACCTGCAGAATGCGACACCTGTTAGAGTTGCCCATTGCCAATACTGAGCAATTTAATACAAAATGTTTCTGGATATTCATCACAGAATCTACATTTGGTATCAACACATTTTTTTCAGTATGTTTGCTTGATAATTTCTAGTTAGCAAGCATTGGTCCTGTTCAGTAAAAATAAAAACTTATGGTTCAACTTTTAATCCTACATGACAACTACTAATGGGTATGGGTGCTTTTGTCTACATCAACTTGTTTGGTATGAGCAGAGTACTGGCCATGAAGAGATTTATCTTATCTCAGCATTTGGTCCATTGCATTTACTTTTGCTTTCTTTTTGCAGATTCTTTGTCGCTACAGTAGATGGATTATGGTTTACTTGCTCTTCTTCATCCAATTGAAATTACCGTTTCAATTTGTTTGCTTCATTGGTCACAGAATAAAATTATTTCCATCATGATTTTTTTTTTTTTTTTTGACACAAAATGTATAGTTTCTAGATATCTTTGAAGGTTGATTCTAATCATTTTCTAAGACAATTCTAGTTGAACTAATGATTTGCTTCATTCAGATCTGGTCACATACAGATAATTAACATCAGCCTTAGGATAATGTATGCGATGACAAGTGAGAAGCTTTTACATTTTGACATCCATTTGCTTAATGTCAGCTACCGTTCAGTTAAGGATGTTGAAACTGTACTGCACTACAAGGACAACTGAAGTATTTACGGCTGATATTCTGTTCTGTAAATTCAACACAGTATTTAAAACCATATGTATATGCCTGCAGTATTCTTTTCTTACTTTCTCTTTCATTCAAGTATGCTGTATTCCATCTCTTTAGCTGAATCCTAGGTATATGTTACTTCTTGCTTCAGTTCCCCAATTTTTGTGACAAAACGAAGATCTATTGAGTAATTCTCCCTTTCTTGAATATTACTTTTGTAGATTTAACTAATCCAAAACTCATGCTAATATCATCTCTGAAATAATTTACAGTATTAAGGAGACTGTTTAAACTTATTGTTACCTTTGGCAAAAATTTTAAGGTCATCCATGTAGAATAAGTGATTAAAAAACTTTGTTTATTTACTTTCCATTATTATTATTATTTAAACAAGAAAAAAAATATAAATATTTATAATGAATCATGTATGTTTTTAACTTCTAGTGGTTAAGCATTAACTATCTTGCATGGTCACCACCAGGTGGCAGTGTCTTTGTTATGATAATTGCAGGGGTTTACAAAGCAGATGAGGCAAATTCCATGAAATTGCAGAGTACAACAATAATGTGAAATGTGAAAAATATATTTAAAAACTCACATATGAAAACTTAGTAACCATATTAAGGACTTAAATGAGAAAGTGTTGGAATAGTGGTATAGTCAGTGGGCAATGATAAGGAAATACAAAATCTTGCTTTCAGATGCTAGGCCCAAATGCAAATTGTCAATACTTATTGTATCATTGTTTTCTTCCACCAGAATTTACTGTGTCACTTGTTAATTATTAAAGTAAATAATACATGTGTACAAAATGAAAGTATTTTTTTTTACAAGAAAAAAAAAAAAATAAAAAAAATAAAGGCACATTGTCCTGTCATTAATTTTTTTTTTTTTTTTTAAATTTAAAATACATTTTGAATTAAAATATAAATTCCTAACAAGGTAGCTATTATTAAAAGGCAATATTGATCTTTAATGTGGAATTTACTTTTGATTGAATGATTTTAAAATCATGGCAACCATTTATCAATATTTCAAGATAAGGAATGTTCAAAACTTTTATTGAATAAAAAATTGCAAGTATTAATTTATATTTTATAACCTAAATATAAAAAAGTTAGAGGAAGAATCATTTCAAAAATTTCTGTATTAGTGTTTCAAAAGTGGTCATATCAGATAATGTTTATGGGTCCACAGTTGAAATCTTAAATTAACACTATGAATTTAAGATTAGGACAACAAATGATTCTGGGCAAAAGTGATTATTTGTGATGTGCAAAGTAAAAGAAAAAGAAGTAACTTACACATAGGAACATCAGACAAAGATATGTCAAACAATGTAGAAATATTTGGAGGAGAAGATCCAGTTTTTGGAGCTGTTGAAAGTGGAACAGCATCTGCTGAACTAGAGTTGACATTTAACAATGTGATCTGCAAAATAAAAATAAAAATGGTATAAAAAAAAAAAAAAAAAAAAAAAAACATGTATTCTTAATACATCCTTGTTCATGATTGTATAAGAATTAGAAGATGTTTAAAAATGTATTAAGAGCGGATATAGCCTTAACATATGCTAAACAAATGACACTGTGATGAAGGCAGATTCAAAATAAAACTGAAAGAATTATTAGATAAGGTAGTTGAGAAAAAGAAAAAAAGTGTTGAGCATTAATTGTAAGATAACAGATGACATGGTCTGGTAAGCGAGAGAGAGAGACAGACAGACAGAGAGTCCAAGATGAGAATTATAAATTGGATATGCCAAAATTAAAGAAATGTAGAAATTCCAACATCACTTGGATAACAGAAAGCATGAAAGAAATTTGAAGGCACATAAGAATTGCAAAATCTACTCTTCATAAACTGAGTAAAGTACTAAAGGATTGAAAAATAATATTTACAATGAAGAAAGAAGCATGAAACTGCCTAATGATATCTAAATCCCTCAAAATCCTTTCAATGATGAAAGTAATTTTGTTACAAATGAAAAAAAAAAAAAAAAATTTTAACAAAATGTTGAAAATACCAATAAAAAGAGCCTGTAGTGATAAATATGGAAGAACAAAAGTAGCACAAAAACAAAGAGGGAGTAGTCATAAAAGAGAAAGTATTACTGAGAGTAGCAAGGTAGGAAAACTGTAGAGAACTAAGAGGGTATAAACAGAATAGTGTCAAATTGGGTTTCCATCTCCTTTAATTATTTGATATCTTTTTAAATATATAAAGTATGACAGTACAGTGCACACACACACCACAATTAATACATATTGGAGAATATAGTAATAGTCTAAGATGCTTTTATCTGTATAGCTTCAAGGTACCTACTCCATTTTCTGTTATCATTTAGTCACTCAAACGAGAATGTCTCGTAAGGTTTATTGTCCTCACCTATTTTATGTTTTCTCTAAATGTTAAGTTTAAAACACTACTGTCTCTGTTGGCACTTTCCATATAGCAACACTTATTCTGGAAAAAAAAACTAACAATTTTCAGCTGTGATAAATATACAAATGAAAGCTGATAGTTCATCAACCTGATCCATTTTCCAAAATTTAACCAAATAATCAAAAAATAAAATATTGGAATCCATTCTTCTTGGTCAGGCCAAGAACTTTTTAACACTATTTTATACAATTAATGGATGCCATTTGTAATCTGTATGCAAGAACTAAAAAACTGCACCATTTGATTCTGATTTAAACTGCAACACTGAATGCATATAAAAAAATTAAGAAAAATGATTATCAATGAAATTTTTAGATTAAACAGATATTTTGTATAAATGCTTACCTCTTCTAAATACAATTTAGAATGGATTTTACAAGTTCATTAAGCTCAGCATGTTTATTTTAATTTTACAAATTGATCAATATCTACCAAATTATTAATTCCCATAACAATTACATTTTAAGTAAATTCCATGAGGGAAAAAAAACTAAATCTAACATGGAAACCCTCTGTAATTGTAGAATTAAGGAAAACTGCCCAGTAGAGGGCAAATGTAGATCCACTAGGGATACCAGGCAACCATTACCCCTAAAGAAAATACAACAAACCATAATATTTACATTGGAATTTCTGCAGGAGAATTTAAAGAGAATCAATACACAGACACTCAATTCACCAATCCCAAATTAGAACACCAAACAGCCCTTTCCAAAATAATTTTGGGAATTGAAGGAAAAGGGTCTGAATCCTCAAATAAATTGAAAAATTTTAGGTTTCACGGACACCGCCAATAGTTTTAGAGATATGTGCAAGCTATGTTTAGAAGAAAAAAAAAATCAGGATAATAAAATAAAAAATTAAAAAAAAATAAAAAAAAAAAAAAAATCAATGCAAACTATTAAATCAATGGAGAAAACAAATCACAAAATGTATACATAGGAACAGATTCAAAATTACATAAGAATACATGTATATGTGGGGGTGTATTATGGATATGTAAATGTACATATATGTATGTGTGAAGATATGTACACATAAGTGTGTTGGACAGCATGATTTATTCCATTGGGTGCTCTGGTATTACCCACAATCTATAAATCTATCATTCAACTAATTTACATTAATCTTAATGGGTTTAAATCTCCCATCACTTATTAATATTGGACCTGTGAAGTATAAAAACATACTTGGTGCTTGTATAGTAAATGCCACATAGTAGGAACCGATATTTAGCTACAAACAATGAAAGGCTATAACCATAAATTATGCCCCTCCACCAGTCGCTAATGCAAGCCCCTTCTCATTAAAAAGGCATCTACTAGAGGAGGACTGGCATTGAAAATCAATCTAAAACAATATGCTCTGAGACAGACACTTAGGGGCTGATGATAGCCATGTACAGTCTGGTTTGAAATAGACTATTACCATGTTGAGGTAATTTATGGTTTTTTGCTGTAAAAATATAATTCCATCAATAAAAACATTATTTTAAACAGATGAAGTCCTTTTGAAGGACAAACATGTGACAGTTGGTTTTTTTTGTTTCAATTGTGATCATTCAATTACCTACCATAGGCCTGATTATATACTTCTATGATTCAATGAGTAAAGCACAAATAAATTTTGGTACCACTGCTTCAAATTTAGCTGGAAATTTGTTGAAAGTAATTCATTTTATGGAGGTTTTCAACAAGCAGAACACATAAAATTTGTAAATACATGTAAGATGAAAATCAGAAGAAAATGGCAACTGACTGTGTAAGAATGAGAAACCAATTTGGGAATTTCATAAATTCTTGAAAGTATTCAGCCATTTTGAATATCTCCACATTTCATGCAGGGTCATTTGCATTAAATTGGTCTGCCATTATTACATGTATTAATGGCTAGTTGAGACAAAAATCAGGGAAGTTATCTTAGAAATTAATTTAGAAATCTCTAAAAACAACTATATGAGCATCACAAGAATTTACTGCATAACAACACTTTAAAATGTACTGGTATTTCATCGTAACACATCTGACCACAATTTTGACTTAATAAATGCCAGTCTGATCTGAAGAGAAAAGAATTCAGTAAGAATAAAAATGCATTGAAAATGCACAGATTCCAGTTATCCAGAATCTATCTCAGACTAGGCTCATTACACTATATAAATAATCATAAAAGCTATAGTAGCATAATGTGGTATATGAACTTGAAGTGAGTGTGAAATAATAATTCCCTTTAACCATTTCCTTCAAATTTGAATGACTGAGGAAAAAGACAGAAAGGAATTCAAAAGCCTATGCAAAATTTTCTTTAAAAATAAAAAACTGTAAATGTTTGATAGATTCTGATTTCAGTTCCACATACACATAAAAAAAAAAAAAAAAAAAAAAAAAAAAAATACTGGATTTTAAAATTAAATACATATAAACTAGGGTTAAATAAAGACTTGGGTATTTTAAATCTTTATAAATGTTTCAATAGTTTTTTTTTTAGATATAGTTAAAAAATTTTTTTTTAAACAACATCTAAAATATTATTAGTTAGATTTACGTTAAAAATATTCAAACACAGTGGCGTCCATCATCATCATCATCTTGCGGCCTCAGCCGAGATTGAACTCACTAATACTTTGATTGGTGTAGTTCATAATCTTGTCAAATAGCTGAAATTTTGATGCTTCGCTAGGGCTATCAAGGGTGTTTTTTTTTATTGTGACACCATCACTAAATGGATTGCCAACCATGGCTCAGAGAGACTCCATTCACCCTCATCTAAGAGCAGGTTTTTGAATCAGAGTTTTCCTTCTCCTAGACCAGTTGCCATCCAAGGCTATAGAACCCAGTCTGTCCTGCTATTTACCCATAGCTGGAGGGAGAAGAAAGAGGATTCACACCTTTCCCAAGGGTATTAGCACATAAGTAAATGTAATGGATTCGACTGGAATTCGAACTCGGCTCCCCCGATTCCTCAATCCAAGCCGCTATCCATTACTCCACCGTGCCTCCTCCGGCATTCCATATCATGTGATGTCCGCATCTCGCGACAGATGCTACTTGTAAACAAACCTCTAAAAACAGTTATCTCTGAAGAAAGATTGAGGTCGATCTGAAATATCAAATATAAATACTTTCATAAAAAAACATTTTTTTAATTTGCAACTTTTTAGTTGTTTTTTGTATATATACAGAAAGTATACGTGGCTTCTCATTATGCTATATATATATATATATATATATATATATATATAAGAGAAAGAACACCAAGATATATAATCCGATGTTCTTATTGATATTTTTACAAAACACGGCTCAATGTAAATTTACAGAGCATAAATATTATAAATTAACTGATTTAAAAATATGGTTTCACTGCTACACAGGAACTACCATGTTTCAAAAACAATAACTTCAAATTTAATTACATTAAATTAAAAGCATTAGTTCTGTTTCATCTTCAAACGAATTTTAGAATAACTTATTTTAAAATTTGCTGAGTTTTAAAAGCACATACATTCATCATTTGTTTCCAAGGATACAGAGAAATCCAATCATTTAGACAGGGGTGTTCTTTTTTATTAACTATTATTGTATCAAGTATGAGTTACGTTCGAAAATGGGTTATGTCTAGGTAGGGTAGGGCTGCCTTTTTTCAATGAATTATGACATCCGTTCAAGAATTTTTCGGCATTTTATTTGTTAAATTTCTACTTGTATACATACAGATGCTTTCTAAAAGGGGTGTTTGGATTAGAATCCGTTGTATTGATCTACAATTTTAAAAAGAAATATAATCCCATAGTAATTAAAAGTAAAAATAATATTTTAAAATTGTTGATCAATACAACAAATAAAATTAGTAATATTTAATTTAGAAAAATGTCACAGGCGTCACATTTAACAGAATAATTTAAATAGAATTTTCTTTTCAGGTTTTCACTTTTAAAAAGGTTGCAAAATTGTACGTAAATAATTTTTTCCAACACTTTAAAATAACTGAACAGTTGGTTAAAATTATTAGGTCACAGTGCTCTATTTATATTAATGTGAAATTTTGCAGGGGGCACTTTCAACTTTTTTGTCTGCTACAGACCAAAAAAACCAGCCTCTTATCCCAAATGTGGACAAAATACTAGCTTCATAAATAAAAAGAAACAAATTTAACAGTGAAAATTTGAGGAAGTTTTTATTAAAATTTTAATGTCAAACTGAAACAATAATAATTACATCCAATATATAGACTGTATATGTACATGAAAATTATTTCACAAATAAAAACTAAGCCCATAATTCAGCATAATATAAATTCTTATACAATCACCATGGTTTGTTTACATTTTGGTGCAAACTTTAAAACACACCAATCAATCTATTTTGTACATATAAGATATTATTGTTATTATTGTCATCTCAATTTGATAATAAAATTCGACTTAAAAGTTTCTTGAATTTTTAATGTTAAATTTGTTTCTCTTTACATACAAGTCTTATTTATGAGACTCGAACTTTGTCCAGTTTGTGATAAGAGGCTGAGTTTTTGTCCTGGATTCTCTTGTTCATCCAGACAAAATTTCCATGTGATAAAATCAAATTCTGAAAGAGCCACACAGCTAAATCATTGGATCAGTTAGTACATTCCCTTATTTTGAATTTTTAAACTATTTTCTGATCTGATGTATTACGTGCATTTCCAGTTGGTTTTATTTTATGCTTATTACAAGAAAAAAAAAAAAAAAAAAAAAAAAGAGCAGGGGGGGATTTATTTGTAACAGAAATAAAAAAACTTTCATGTCCCAATTACTTTTTCTATCAAATTTATTTGATTATAAAATGTTATGTATAGAAAATATTAAATAATATTTCATATGATTAAAAGAGTAGTGTAAAGAATTTAAAAGTGAAAATTAAAAATTAATGTTGTCAATTCTTTTAAGATAATCTAAATAACAAGTGAAAAGTTTGTGACAGGTAGAAATATTTCAGTTTGATTAACACAAAGAAGATATAGTTACAAAACTAATATCTTTCTTGTTGCAATGAAACCGATACAAAACTGAGGAGCAGAGCTTTACAGAGCCCCCCAAAAAGGAGTGCGCACCTTTTTACTGGGATAAGAGAAGAGGGCTCATTTTATATTCAACCACAATGGAGTGAGAGCAGCTCCATTTGGGACTAAAGAGTGGTGGGTATGCACTCCTCACTCCAAGATTATTTGAATTTTTTTTTTTTTTTTTTTACACCTGCGTGTTACTGTTTTGATGTCCGGTGGGGAGGGGACATTTCTTTTAAGTTGTGGGGAGAGTCTGAAAAAAATGTCTTCAAAAGAGTCAGTCACTCTGTAGAAAGACTTTGATAACATTTTTTTCTTAGATATGTATATATGTGTATGAGTGTCAGTGAGAGATGGAGAGAGAGAGTATAAAAGTTGTCTGTTGATATTGGCGTGGGGTAAGAAAGGTTTGAACTATTTGTTTTTATGACAAATTTTCATTGTTGAATGAATAAATAAACCAATGTTTTCTTTTTAATTTACTGACAATATACTTTTGCACACAATTTTGCCATTACCATTATTTTTTTTTTTTTTTAAAGAAAGTTATTAAAAAATAAATGAAATCTTTACAAGCAATAGCTTCCACTAAATTTTCTCGCCTATTTCCCTCAATATTCAACCAAATGAAATGTAATATTCCAAATTACACTTGTTTATATATTTTAGCAGATAATATCAACACAAATGATAAAGGATGGTACTATAAATTCTGTGTTACAGTATTTGTTAAAAGTTATGAAAAATAAAACAAAATTGAAATTTAATAACACCAGTTATTCTACTGAAAAATGGAAAGTACATTTGTCATAATTTCCCAATTACAGATATGAAGGCAATATGCTAAAAGAATGGTCAATATTTCTCAATTTTTTTTTTTATTGAAATACCATGTCCCTTCAAGACATGGACAATACAGGTTCTCCACAACCTACTTTTCTTTAATATCTGTGAATTTCCAGTTCTTTTTGGGATTGATTATTTTTTTTTACAGCTTATCAATCCATTGCAGTTTATATAAAATGCTAAAAGATTTTAGATTATAAGAATATTTCTTTTGTTGCAAGTGGATATTGCATTAACAATTTGGTGAAATTAATGATTTTTCCAGATATGTCGTATATTTAACCCATAGCTGGAGGGGGAGATGGATTCATACCTTTGCTTAGGATATTAACACATAAGTGAATATAATAAACCCAACTGGAATTCAAATTTAGCTCAGGTTTCTCATTTGCAACAGCTATCCAGTACACCACTTGTACATCTAGTGTTCAAGAAACACAATGGAGTGGTTTCCTCATTACCTTCTCCACATTTCAGAATTCAGAGTTTTCTTTCTCTTAGATTGGTTGTCATCCAATTCTAAAGAGCCTGTCCACCCTACAATTTAACCCATAGCAGGGGGAAAGAGATGAATTCATGATTTTCCCTAAGTGCGTTAGTTTACAAGTGAACACAACAGTCAATGTTGAAATTGGAACTCTGCTTGTTGATTCTACTTTCCACATTAATAATCATTACATTAACCACACATCAAAATTAAAAGTTCTAAACATTGAATTAAAAAATAAAATTAATTTAGTTTATCTCTTTCTTTAGAAATGCCACCAATCTAGTACTTCACTATAATTCATAAAGTCTATATAATATAGAACAAAGCTCACCAGAAGAATTACAATGAAAATTGTTATAGAAAAGGCACAGGGAAGCTACATTAGTGGTGAGATGTCGTATCAGGACCAATAACATTGCAGATTTCTTTTTATATTTTATCAAGAATCCCTAAAATAGAAAACAGAAGCACCAGACAAGATGTGAGAAAATATTTAATACACAGACAAATGAGAGATTTATAAATATGTAAGATAGATTCTGGCAAGACACAATGAGCCAACTTTCCTAGCAGCAGTCCTAACAAGTAAACCAACATAATCTTTCCACTTCATGTTAGTGGAAAAATGTTAGCCTAAGAATGCAAAAGGAGTCACTTTCCTGGTGGTTAGCATCAGTCATATTGATGGAAGGCAAAAAGGATTCTCAGATGATTAAAAGAGGGAAGTTTTGTTTTGGAGGTGTTAAAATTAACAGGTCATTTCTCACTCTTTAAAAACCACATCACTTTCTTGGAGCAATGAAAAAACACATCCATTCAGTACAATATTCAACATTCTACTTACAAGAATGACAAATGGCGAAATTAGACTCTTAGATAATTGTGCATTAATTTGCAGCTTCATTTTTTTTTTTTTAAATTCTTTCTTAAACCTGCTAACCTATATGTTTATTATGTATTACAATGAGAGAGGAAATTACTTACCATATCAGAAGGTGTGTCTGTTAATTCTGAAACAGTAGGTGATGAGGAAGTTGCTTCAATAGAAGATAATTTTAATGACAATGGATTGGTTTCAACAGGTAATGATGGTGACGGTGATGGAGATATGACAACAGCAGATTTAACTAAAAGAAAAAAAAAGAAATTTGCAAATATATATTAGATATAATCAATATAGAAATCAAACTGTCTAATAATCACTTAAGGCATGTAACTACTACTCAACATGTAATGTTGATATCTAAGTCCACATTTTATATTAAGAAATGTTCTATCCCTGATTATGAGTACTCTTATCACAGAAATAAATATATATATTAATAAAATTATTGGTAATCTGTATGGAATTTCCAAGAGGTTATAGATCTGTTGAGAGCTCTATGTCAAAGACAAAGCAATAATTATTATATAATGAAAAACAAACACTTAAAATACTATATTGCATATTTAGGCAGCATTCCTTCATTTATACATATTTCATTAAAGATAACAAATAAAGTACTGCAATTAAGTTGATTTTATTTAATTTTTCTTGTGTTCAAACAAGTGTTTTCTTTTCTGAACACAGAGTGTATAGAAACTGTCCAAATATTCTATAATTCTGAGCACTTTTGACTATTCTTTTAGCCATTATCAAGGATGATTTTATTTTTGCTTTTTAACCTAACACGATTCATTTTATTAAAGCATAAGAGAAAGAAATATTGAGAAAACGAAATTCTGGCATATTTATTTTTGTTTGATTTCCATTAATTAAGCAGACTTTACATGCATTTGACTTGTCCAATGTTCCTCTATATAATTTATATGTGCAAGTGTATCATAATTCTAGTTTGTCTATGTGAGACTTGGATAATATATATATATATATATATATATATGGGGGGGGCAGTAGTAGGCATTATTTATGTTTGATGGTTGTCGGCATGCTGATTTGGGTACATTTTTATGCAAACACCAGTTATGGTAATGGTAGCTAGACCTACTTTAAATTCTTTAAAAATGGATTTTGTAAAGTTTGGTGGAGTATTAATAGTATTTTTCATGTGTATTTATAGTCGATAAAATATTTATGGTTTTCATTGAAGTATTTTCAACATAAAGAATTTTTTTTTTTATCAGAATCAGATACATGACTGACGAGGCAGATTTTTTTTTCTGCAATAGTTTGCCATTTCTTTCTGTGGTAGATCAGTTGACATCCAAGGCTAGAGAACCCAGTCTGTCCTGCTATTTACCCATAGCTGTGGTAGTGGGGGGGGGGGAGAAAAGGATTCATACCTTTTCCAAGGGTATTAGCATGTAAGTGAATGTAATGGATTCGACTGGAATTCCTGTGTCTTACAAGTAATATTAAAGCGTTATTTCAATGTAAATCTCTTATGCTCAAAGATGCAAACTTTGAGATTGAGATGTCTCACCAATGTAAGTGTTTTTACAATACAAGTACTTTATTTGATAAATACTGACATATCAAGTGATGCTGGATCTATTTTTCTTCATAATCATCTTCCAGATTGTTGTGAAGTGAGTGATAAAGACCGTAGTGTCGAAGCATAATTTATTTTCAAATTTTATAGAAAACATTTAAGATTAAGATTATGAATTTTGTGTTGCTGATGTTAGAATTGCTATCACCAATGTCTATTTTTTTCCTAATCTGTGTGTGTGCATGCGTCTATGAGTAAAAATTCAGATATAAATAAAATCATTCAGGGGGACAAAACGTTGGTAAAGAAAAGTTTTCCTTTCGTCTTTATATGTGTGTGGGTGTCTGAAATGATTTTTTTTTTGTTTTTAACATTAAGCCATTTAAGTCAAATTAAAAAAAGAAAAATCTGGCCATTGCTGACTAACTCACTGTTTAATTACTCAGTTAAGGTGAATCTATTATGAGTTCCTTTCTAGATTATAGGTCATGCAAATCATTAAGTATGTTAAATTTTAAATCCCTAAAAATAAAAATGCTACACAAATTAGTCACTTTCTGAAAAAACTGCTGCTCTATAAAAAAAAAAAAAAAAGTGATGAGTCAGCATCAGCTGGCTCCAATAACTCAAATGGCAATTTTTAATAATGTCTTGCAGAATAGTAAAACTACAAACATGGGCTAAATTTTTTAAACATCAATGAACATTAACAATTAGTGTAGCTTTGTAGGTCAATAAATTTATTATATATATATATATATATATATATATATATAAGGAATAAAATATTTTAAAGATTTGTTGTATAAAAATTTAATGAATTTTCTTTGTGTTCTTAAACACTGAAAACACAATGTTTAGAAGTCACTTTAACAAGGAGCAACCAGATCTATTTTTCCTGTATGCCCATTAAATCTACAGTGTGTGCATATAAGTTTGGCTTATCACCAAAAAACATTTGTTAATAATGACTGTTTATTATTTCTTCTATATTGCAGACCATATAAAATGCCTAATATCTTATTTGTTAACAATGATTTCTATCTTTCAGATTATATAAAATATCTAAGTATTGTCAGACATTATCAAATATTTTTTGTTGATAATGTAACTATGTATTTTGTCTTTCTGTGCTTTGTCAGTTTTATCTCTTTATCAAATATCACATCTTTATATTGTCATATCTTTTTTTTACCCTAACTTCTTTAGTTATAAAATGTATTTACTATGTTAGTTCATAAATTTGCTAAATTGCTGGGTTGTTTGTTTTTTAGGGTTAATGCTTCTAGTATTTGTAGTTGCTTTTTTACAGATGATTTGATAAAGCAATTTTGTGCTATTAGTAAGAATTTGTTTGTTTTCTTGTATTTTACTGCCATGCTGATTAGTAATATGTAATTTAATTAAACTATTATTAGATAGTTAATTGACTAGCTTTTCTGTTGGTAAGAAGAGTGACATGTCACCACATAGGACAAAAAGACCTGTCAATGAGCAGATGAACTTCTTATAAGTGTAAATGCCCAACATGTGTTTATATAAGGCTAGGATGGGCTTTCTTAAGCTTTGAATGGCAATATCCCATAAGATGGTGCCTTTATAAAAACACTGTGTGCACTTGGACTACTGTTAGTATCTGAGTTGGACATCATGAAGAGCATCTCATTATGACAAATCCTTTGTCAATCAGGACTCACCTTGCTTTGTGCAAGATTAATCCTGGTCCTGCCTTAAAAAAAAAAAAAAAGACTATGTTTAAATTATAGTTATTAGTGACATTCTCCAAGTTAATAAACATACTCATAAACAACATCAGTTTGTTGAAGTTTGATATCTATGTCATATCATTAGTAGTGATGGTTTATTTTTTCATGTAGTTATTGTTAATTGTGCAGTTGTGGTTTGTAGAATAATTTAAGGTTTGTTTTTTGTTGTTTTTCTTAATTTTATGGAAAAAAAATTTAACAAACTCGTTAAATTTTTACAACCACCTCCAAGACAATAAAAGGCATAGTCAGAAAGAAAAATAGATCCAAAAACACATCAGATTCTGGAATTATATAAAATGTCTGCAGTGTAAGAAAAGATATATAGACAATACATCTAGAAATTTCAAAGCTCATATTTACAAACATAAGAGAGACCTATATTGGGACAACCCTTTAAACTTGCTTGCAACACACAAAAACAAACAGCCCATAACATTGGTTTTATAAATGCCAGCCTAATTAGAAAAAAACAATGAATTATGTAGGAAATACTAATAGAGTAAATGCAGTTTAAGTCGGATTTTTTTGTAGGCAAAGTTTTCATTATTCAAATCAATTAGTACATTTAGAAAAAGAATTCCATTATTTGAAATATTTAGATATGTGTGTGTGTGTGTGTGTGTGTATATAACTTTGGGTGAGGTTCCTATTCATGCATGAAAACACATTTTAGAAGGGTTTTGCTGTGTATCAAAGCTGATTAATGAAAGCAGATGAGAAAAATCATGAAGAAGGGTTAGATTGAGTTGAGATCAATGAGAGAGAGAGAGAGAGAACCAATTACAGTCAATCTCACGTGAATAATGGAAATAGAACCAGAAAAGATTGCACGTTGGATTAACAGGATCCAGTAAGTCCATTATAAGTAAAATTCACCCAATTCCTCTCTAGCATGTCTAACTTGAGATTAATAAGATTGACAGTTTCTTAGATAAAATGTAAATCCATGAAACTAAGTTGTTTGTGCAGAGGAAGGGCCAAATTTCTGGTTCTTGTGACATTTGTCATCATTAGGGGAATCTAATTTTCAGACAATGAAAGTATTTTGGGAACTTTGGTAGATTAATTGCAAGTAATTAGTTGTTCATCAATGTCAAGGTAAATAGAAATTGTCTACTTAAGGAACCACATGGGATCATAAGAAGAGAAGGTGTGTCAATGATTTTGAAGATCTATACTTTTGGAAGACTATGAATAAAAGAACATAATTACTACACCACAGTATTATGTCTACATCTACTAAAAACCTCAGCATACTTTTCTTACTATCCATATACTTATAATAAAAAAAATTGTTGAATACTAAATAGGCATTGAAGTGTATTACTGATTGTGTGTTGAAACCAAAGATATTCATTTCAGTCAAATAAACAAGAGAGTGAAGAATAATTTGCATCATGCTATAAGCACTATCAATTATAGGTGTGAGAATCTATAGCCATAGTCCTACACTTGGTTACATATATTACTATAAACATTATTTTTTTTGTGAAGATGTGTTTGAGTTGCTTTCCTTGTTTTTCTAATTTTCTTAAAACAGTGAAATTATTAACCAAGATTGAGAAGTCCATGGTCAGTTGGTTGTTAATAATTTCATTGTTTAAGAAAAAAATAAAATAACTGAAATGTGTTTACTCACTAAAAATAACAATTATAGTAATAACAAATAAAGTTGGATAAAAAAAAAAAGTCCATTTAATATATATATATATATATATATATATATATATATATATATATATAAGAGAAAGAGTGTGTTGAGGATCAGTATAAACTACCACCCATGATAACCTGATAATGATATCTGTTAAATTGTTACTTAAACATATCAGACTGCAGTCACAAAACATTATACAAAATGGATTCTTTTTATGTTTGTGTCAGGATTGATTTGTAATATAAAAATTTATATTTCCATGACTACTG